GTTATTCTATTTATTAGGTTTTATGCCTGTGAATAACATGAAGGTAAGATATAGATGGAACAGCAATACACTAATATGTAAATTATATTGAATAGCAATGTGTTCACAACTCTGATTGCTTGAGCAGAGATGCATGATACATGTATGTAAATCAGATGCTAATAATTCAGTTTTCCATGACTATGATTGGCAAAACAGCATCACATGACATGTAAACAGAACCTCATTGGACAATTCATATATTAACCTTAAAGTAAGTGAGAATAGTCCTAATGTCTTCTTCAAAGCCCATATCAATCATTCTATCTGCTTCATCTAGGCACATGAAGCGACAAACATCTAACGAAAAACATTTTTTATTCAACATATCCATTAATCTTCCCGGCGTAGCAACAACGATATGAACTCCCCTGAAATAAACAAATATTAAAATTGCTTTTAAAATTTTGCAACATAATGTGACAACCTTGTTTCATACACTTTCTATGAGCGAGTTTGGTTTTAGAATTAAAAGATCATGAAATCTAATTCACATATAGAAAATGTGTTGAGTGCTCGAACATGTCAGAGTTTCTAGATATTCAAATGTTACTTTTTCTGGCCGATCTATACACTTCCTGCTTTCAAACTTGGCTGATTATTTTATGTTATAAAAGTTGTGATTTATTGTTTTACAATATGTCCTGCACCGTCAGATATGTCCGTTTGCTGTCTCAAGCTCCATCCCCAGGAATGTTTCATGTTATTTCTGTCATGTTAAAATAGGGATTGTGGATAAATAAATGTGTGCAACAAATGTAATCTTTTTGTTTAGAGGAGGGAGACAAAGGTGATTTCATAGACTTTGTGCAAAGGTCCACACAGAGTTGTTTTTAATGTTTGTTCCCAGTTTTTTGCAACTTTCTTGTATAGAGAGGTGAGAATGAGGCTATATTATAAAGATTATATTTGCTGGATGTACCGGATTCGGCTGATACCCTGCCCATGGGCGGTGTTTCAAATAATCTGGTACAATTCAATTAGCAATGGCTCCTTAGAACAGCTAGCCAGACATTGTCACACATTTGTAGTTAATTGAATTCCTTTGACTAGGTGTTCCTTGAGATGTTATCTGAAAACCCAGTCATGTACGTACAAATTCACAAGAACTAACTATGCATTGAGTTGAGTTAGTGGCAAAGCTGATACATTAAGTTGATTACCTTTTCATGCATTCCACTTGTTCTTTGACAGACACCCCGCCTATACATAACATAGTTCTTAACTCAGGCTGACCCTCAGCTTGTACGCATCTTGAAAAATGTAGGATTACTTCATGTGTTTGTCGCGCCAACTCTCTCTGTAAAATCAACAACAATATGTGTTTCTGGGTTACTTTCGGTATTCCAAATAGAACTTTCCAATGTACTCTCACTTCTAATCTTAACTTCAACCTCAGACTAGTCTGAGCTTCAACTCAATCCCTATGCTCTATTGCCCACTCAAATTAATTGTATATGCCCCACTTGAGGACAACTACTGTTATCTAGGGGCATATGCAACTGAATTTCCCCACAGATAAGTGCAACTTCAAGTTGACCTAATACAACATGAGGTTGTGGT